ATGGGTCATTGTCAAATTTTGCGCAGGTAAACGAGTCCCTCAACATTATTTATTTTTTTGTTATTAATAATGTCAAAATCCTTAACGAATTATATATTAAATACAAAATACATCGCTATAGCGAACATCCATTATTGGAATAAAGACTCAAGTTTCGATATTTTTCAATTTTTTTCAATTAACAAAATGGTCATTAGTGGTAACAGAAAGGTTTTCCTTACAAATTGTACCTGTCCCATGTAGCATTCCGTTACAATAAACATCATATAAATGCATTTTCTACTATAGTAACCCTCTTAATATAAATTATAATCGTAAACAGAGTATTATAAATATTCAATAAAATATGTTTTAAAATCAGTCAGTATTAAAATTTAGTTTTTAAATAATTTTCTAAACTTTGTCCCACGTACTATCTGGAACCGGCTGGTTCACTATGTTACTAACTAATTCACGACTCAAAATGAAGATGGCGCTGTTTTGGACACTGTTTTATTTTGGGCGAAATGTCTGCATTCGTCGTGGGAGTTCGTTAGGTTGGGGGGAGGGGTATGTCGCTCGACAGTCGACCGCAAGGTGTTGAACGTGCTGCGTGTTTAAATTGCCCGTCCACCTTGTTACCTACCTATTCACATAAGTAAATGAATATTTTTTCATTAGTTTACGTTCAGTTTATTGTCTGAGGGGTAAATGTGTTAAATGTGAACGAAATATTTTACTTTACGCTTTATTTTTTGACTTGTGTATAATGGAATGTAAAATTTACCACTCTGTTACTACGCAACTCTGTTACTAATTTATGATATTATACAGTATTATGTTCCAGTTAGCTGTTAATATATAGATATTTGGAGGACTTAAGTAGAATTTAAGGTATTTTAATATTCAATAAGTAACAGAGTTGTTTAAGAGTTTAGATTAATGATTGTTAAACTTAACAAAAGACTGTTATGATTCTAATTATATGTAAAAGATATAAGACTGTTTAATATGAATACCAAAATATTTGCTACTGACTTGTTTAATTTCATAATAAAAGGTAAAACTAATTGGTAACAAAGTTGTATTTTTTTTACACCCTGATCCATTAAATGTGGAATAAATCTTAAATTATTGGTTGAACATCGCGACCAGCTATAATAGATGATAATGCAGTTGTTTTAACGGACACGGACATAGAAAAAAGTAAAATCTAAACATATATTTTTTTCAAAAAAAATATGATATTAAGTTAAATTTACCTGCGCAAAATTTGACAATGACCCACGTAATAAAGTTAGATTGTTGCAAGAAGGCGCGAGGCCTCTGCAAGAGCGAGGCCCCGGGCGGTTGCCCTGCTCGCCACCCCCAAAGGCCGCCCCTGGCCCAGACAGACACACGTGTGATCTTATAAGGGTTCTGTTTTTCATTCAGATATACGGAAATTTAAAAATGGAAAGGTTGCTTAGGATTACTTTTGATATATTTAGGATGCTTTCGTTAAATCGAAATCTTTAATTAGAAATAGCTTATTATGACACATTCAAGTAGGAACCAAACAATTGCAAAGAAGTAGGCGGGCTTAAATATTTATATTCCGGTGTGTAGTTGGTTGCATATACATACATTCTATTGACATATTATAACCATCAAATTTTAAATGTTTGTAGCATATGTAATAAAATCATTAAAAATTAACTAAAATTAATACCCATCTATATGTAAGTCTTGAGTACTCAACGATAACGGTAACTACTGTCGACATTTGGTCGGGAACAGCTAGTTTAATAAAAAACTGCTCTTGGGTGTCATAAAGACTAAGGGTGGTGCTGCCTACCAACAGTGCTCAAAGCTTATAGGGAATTACCATTTCTGAAAATTTGGAATAGAAAATTTTTCAAGCATTGGGTCAGAAAAAAATCTAGAATTTATTTTTATGACGACTATTTTCGGCAGGTATTTTAGTTTTCCTTCCGCACAAATGGAGCGACAACGAATAATCCTCAGCTTTGTAAAAATGAATAATGCAAAGGTTGTAACTTTGAAAATCGAAGGAAGCAAAATGTGCTCAATTTATTGTAAAATGGCGCTGATTTTTACTTCAAAAGTTCCGAATTTTACAAATTCTGTATAAACGTATCTATTACTACAACCCAAATACACTGAAATTTCAAAAATTAATTAATGTTTGCTAAACCTTTATGAATTTTCAATTAGATGAGAACTTTTGAGTTATGCAACGACAACTTTAATCAGAACTTTATTTCATGCGAGAGTAAGTCATACGTAACGTGACCATTTAATTTTTTACTCAAAATGGGACACCGGTTTGTTTACGTTAGTTGGCAGGTTAATAATGAAAAACAAAAAACACATTTTTTAATGGTCTTTATTTAGAAAATGTTAGATTTTATTATACATTGAAAATATGCAATATAATATTTATCAAATATTAATACGAAAATTCATTTCTAATTTTCAACTTCACTATAAACTACCTCAAGTTAATGGGGGAAATATTTGTTGCTGTTGTCACACCCTTGCCGGGAATCGTAGTCCTAAAAGGCCCCGGGTTCGATTTCTGGCAAGGGTGTGACAACAGCAACAAAAACAAATTCCCTCATTAACTTGAGGTAGTTTGTAGTGGGATTGAAAATTGAAAATTAATTTTCATATTAATGTTTAATATTAACCACTATTAAATGTAAAAGTGTTTCATATGATGTTCGTAAACAAGAATAAAATTCTTGGTACGTTTTTTTGTATTCACCTTAGTTATCGATACCGCCTTCATAACTGGAATCTCTAACTGGGTTTTTTCACAAGTCCACAATTTGTTCATTAAAGAAAATTCTCTTTCTACTGAGCCATTTGTAGCAGGCAAACGAAACACATAAGTATTCAATTAAAATACAAAACTTTTAATGTTGAAGATTTTTAGTGTGAAAGTGTTCGAATACTTCCACCCAAAGAGTTTCT